TTTAGATCTTCAGGTTGAGAGAAAACAATCTGAGAAACTCACACTGAGAGTTTCAGCCAATCAAACTCAAACGATTAACAATCAGGAGACCGTGCTGATGTGTAAAAGGTCGCAGCTCCTCCTCTGCTGCGTCTGAACAACAACATCTTAAACAAACACGTTTCTGACTGTCGTCCGTGTAGAGAGGAAGTGACGGCTCTGGGATGATTATTCTCCCGCTGCAGACCGTCTGTTGTGATGGATCTGATTTATTTCCAGGACAGTGCGCGCAGACCTGGTCCCGTGTCTGAGCTGCGGGCCTAGAACCAGGCTGAAGGTTGGATCTGTCCAATGACCTGCCAGTCCTCCGAGTCCACAGACACCATCGAGAGCGACAGACGAGCCGACAACAACTCCAGAGCTGTGGAATCAGACGAGAGCCGCATCGCCTCGGCCATGAAAGACCTGAAGAACACAGGTCTGTTTGTTTGTTTGCTCATTTAAAGGGACAGTGCGCTTTAATGTACAGCTGTAAATGTGCCAGAGTCCATCTGTAGTCCCGCACAGATGTTCCAGATGTGACTAAAAACAGAATGGAAGACTGAAGTGACGGAGTTGTTGAGAGTATTTATGATAGAAGAGAATATAAACAGCACACGGGACTTTATAGGTGTGGTTTAAAACTTACAACACATTATACAGGATGTAAATAAAAGCTGTTGGACGTGAAGCGTGAAGGATTATAACACAGGGCTTACTTCCTGTTGCCAGTAGGTGTAGGCATATGGATGTGTTCAGGGCGGGACTGTTGTGAAACATGTCAAATTTAGTCCAGATGTGAGCATGTAGACAGAAGTTACAACAACTTTCTGTTTCATGGCGAAGCATCAGTTTTTGACGCCACGCCACGGAAACACCGTTTGACAAAAACTCACACAAAGCACAATTTTTCATCGTCCCTGCCTTTAGATTGTACAGAGGTCATTTAAAGTCGATTGGATTAATTCTCTATGAGGAGTTCGTTAAAGTACGGAGCCTGTAAAACGCCAAAAAATTACCATTAAAGTCAAAATGGCTGACTTCATGTTCCACAGAAATTTCATAAATTTTTCTGCAAAGTTTTGAGAGTTTTTAGGCTGCAGAAAAACAGAAAGAAGAAGGATTCCTTCAGGTTTAACAGATTTAACTGATTAAAGGTACCTGAGGACATGAACACATCCGACCTGCCGCTGAGCGTCTTCTCTCTCAGCTGGATGCAAACCAACTAAACTCTGAAGTACTGTTTCGTCCGGGGCGTTGCCGTACAGGAAGCTCTACGGGGGCACCGTCTGCCGCCATAATCAACATGTTAATAGCCAGGAGTTAAGATCAGTTTCTTTCCATCTTGCAGTTGTAGATAAACTTTGACTGAGCGTGCTTTCACACCTGCCTCATTTAGTTTGGTTGAATCGCACTAGAGTTGGTGCAGCTCATCTGGGCACCAAAAGCAACCCAACAAATGTTCCGAGAGCTCGAACTCTGGTGCGCTCACTTGTGGTGTGAGAGCGAACCAACCACAGGATCTTATGACTGCAGAGATGTGACGGGAGCATTATTTCCAAAGCTAAACCACTAATAAATCCATCTGCTATAATAATATATATATAATATACCGCGGGTATATTCCCTGATTAACAGGTTAAAATCTGTTAAAAAGCTTCTGTTTACCCTGTCAGATCATTAAGTCCATGAGGTAATGAATTATTACTGAACTACACGTCCTCTTTACGTCATTATTCATAACAGGCGGCGGATCTGCTGTCCAAAAAATGGCCAAAAATGTAATCACGATAATCGTTCGATAATTATCACGATAAATGTCAAATCGTTTTTTCAAGTTTAAAGGCAGATTTTTGCTCCTGAGTGAAAATTGAAGAAACCTGATGGTTGATTATGTGGTGAAACTTTTCTTTATGGTCAGAATGACAAACACTTGATGCCAAACAGAGAGAACATTCAGAACTATTCTGATTATAACAGAGATAATCAGTAAATCTTTTTCCTCAACAAAACACGTGTTTTAAAAGAAAATTAAGTGCTAAACCAAATATTTATAGACGATATATTGAACATTAATTATATTGTTATTGAGGAAAATTAGATTGTGATAATTATCATTATTGTCTGATCACTAATGATTAATAATCATCATCTTCGTGAGCTCTGCGATACAAAGTGCTGCTGTCAGTCACCGAGTTTGATGAAAAACCCCAAATCTGTCAGTCTGTATCGTCGTGGTTACTCGTCGTGGTGCGTTTGTGAACCTGCAGTGTGAACAGGAAGCGGAACTAAAATGAACCGGGCTACAGGAGTGAGGGACCGATAATCACTGTCTAGTTTTAAAATGTGTCTGGACTGGTCGTGCTCATATAAACGCTGCAGGTTATAAACCCTGAAGATTTATTGTTTCGCTCTGGTCAAAGCACCCAGCGCCCCGGGTGCACCCGTGTGTCTCGCCGAGTCCCGTGATGAGAAGTGAAGTATCAGCTGGTTGATCAGGACCCCGATGCTGCGTCGCAGGTAGACCCGGATCGCATGAAGCGCTCGGTTAATCGTTTCCTGTAGTGGCGGCTGCTGTTGGTTTGTAAATGTTGTCCTTCAGCGTCTCACGTCTTCTCTGTTTCCTGTCTCTCTGTGGCGGCAGGTTGGTACTGGGGCAGTCTGACCGCTAACGAGGCCAAAGAGATCCTGCAGGACGCCTCGGAGGGCACCTTCCTGGTCCGGGACAGCTCTCAGAGGGACTACCTGTTCACCATCTCCGCCATGACGTCGGCGGGCCCCACCAACCTGCGGATCGAGTACAAACACGGCAAATTCAAGCTGGACTCGGTGGTTCTGGTGAAGCCCAAGCTGAAGCAGTTCGACAGCGTGGTCCACCTGGTGGAGCACTACGTCCAGCTGTCCAGGACCGGCGACAAGGCGGCGTCCAACCCTCAACCCTCGGCGGCGGCGCCCAACGGCACGGTGCAGCTGCTGCTCACCAAACCCGTGTACACCGCCACGCCGTCGCTGCAGCACCTCTGTCGCATCGCCATCAACAGGAGGACGCGGCGGGTCCGGGATCTGCCGTTACCCAACAGACTGAAGGACTACCTGACGGACTACACCTACAACGTGTAGGCGGGCTACAGCTCGCCGCGGAGGAAGATGCGAGCGCAGTCGGCTCTGTGCGACGCCCCACTGACCACTGACCAATCCCATCATGCCTTGCTCCTACAAGGACCCAGCAAGTCAAAGAGTCGGGCGGTAACGAGCCTGAGCAGCTGGAGGAAAATCCTGCAGGACGTTTGGCTCAGGAAGACAGACGGCTCTCTGAGCACCGTCAGTACTGCTCTGTGGTGAAGTACCAGACCGCAGGGTGAGTTTAAAAACGCCTTCACACGTTCACAGACCGACGCCGCAAACCCAGATCGTCCGCCCCCAGCCGAGGGCCGCAGCTGACCGTCGGTTCCGTCATTGATTTAAAGTTTTATCGATTAAACCTGAAACGTTCTGATTTAACAAAGAGATCCAGAAGACAACAGCCGCACATCTGAGACGCCGGGAGCGCCGCCTTCATTTTTGCTTTAAAAAAGACTTTTCATGATCAAAATAGTTCCAGATTCACGACCTGTTGCCGCTCCGACTCAGTGGCCCCTGAAGGGCCCGAATGTAAAACCCGGACCTCCTGTTTTTGTCCGTTTCTGAACGTTTTTGAAGCGTTGCACAGATGATGTGTTGAGTGAATGTTTTGGCGGGAGAGGAAGAGGCCGACGCCGTCAGTCAGAGCGGCGTCTGCAGCTATTAACTCGAGTCACAGAAACATCTGATAGACGCTGAAAGTCGAAGCAGTTAAATCACCTGATTTCATCGGTCGACAGTCGACACGTGATCTGAAGATGGTCAGGGTTTTATCATCATCATCATCTATTAATTATTTAGTCTCCAAAAAGAGTCCAGCCCAGCGAACAACAAATAAACCTGACGTGGAATTAAACGTGTTTCCTGAAGGCTGCAGCTGGCGGTCGGTGTCCTCGCTGATCTGTTATTAGTATTTTTATTATTTATTATGCGGAGCCCGTTTATCATCGTCTGATTCACAGATCGACTAACAAACTAATCCTTTAAACAAAATCTCCAGTAAATATTCAGTTGTTTATTTTCGTTTTACTTTCAGCCGAGCTGCGAACTAAAAGCTTCTTCCGTCTCTGTTTCCTCCTCCAACATCCTGACAGACGGAGGACAGGAAGTCAGAGACCCGTGAAATAAAGTGAGACAGATCAGAGTCTGAGCAGAACCACATCAACAGTCTGGCTCCACTTGTTGTTCCCACCTTCAGACGCAGGAAACGCAGCGCTCTGATTGGCCGCCCGCCGGCCTGTGACCATGAAAAGTTCACGTTTGTGAGTCAGCAGGACTTCCTGATCGATGACAAACAAACAGAGTTGTTTTTCATCTGAGCACGGTTTAATGAGTCAGTGTTTGACCTCTCCGGGCTCCGCTTGGACTTTGTCCCCGCTGGATGTAGTACTCTGCAGCTCTGAGCCAATCACAGCGCAGAAAAACAAAGACCCCGCGGGGCCTGTTAATCCCGCTCTGTGGCCCAATACATCCTCACTCCAGCTCTCGTATCAGATCAAATCCAGATCAGATTAAAGGCTCTCGGTCACAAATCTGCAGATTATAATCTGACAGATCTGATGACGGTTCTGGGCTGCAGGGTCGGGCCTCCTCCGGACCACAAGGAGGCGCTGGTGCATAACTTTCCTCCTCCTCCCCTGGTCAGGATCTCCTCAGAGTTTTAGCCTCACAAACACCTTCAGCTGTCTGACGTGACGCCGCGTCTCCAAGTTTATCTACAAACTTCCCGCCCTCGTGTTGATCTTTGATGATCCTCGCTGTCATCCCACCCTCTCAGGTCCACTTCCTGTCCCGTGTTACATTCAGTAACAGTCCCAGCTCGTTATCGGTCCATGCAAAATAAATCTGGTGCGGTTCTTCGTCTGTAGAACTTTATTCTTTCAGCAGATCTTCTGTAACTACAGAACAGACCACCTGCTTCCTGTTTACACGGCGTGCATGCCTCATGTACCTGAACGGCCACCAGATGCGCGTCGTTTTAATGTAGACGGAGATCAACTCTGATCTGCATCGTGTTGCTTTTAGAACTGTGGATGGGTTCCCACTCGGTGCAGCCGCAGAAAAGCAACAGCAAGGTTTCAAACAGCTTTACTGATCCTCGTAGGGTAATTCAGTTTTCATCTGCCAGTCGTTTCAAACGAGACGAAACAACAACTACAATCAATCAACATTCAGAAACAGAGCAAAGCAGCGAATATGCAGGTCAGAATACCCGGACCGAGCAGGGACCATGATTCAAGAAGATAAATAAACCAACCGGATCATGAAACTCTGGCCCAACAAAGTGTGAGTTCTGTAACTTAACTTAGAATTAAGATGAACGGGTTGCATTTTATTTAATCTAAAGAAATTATGGGTTACATTTAATTGTTTTTACTCCCTAATCCTCAATCCAGACAGACAGACATGGTTCCTCTTGTGTTTGGTCACATGAGACCATTAAACCAAACTCCATTTAAAAATCTATCGTTTTTAGGCTGTTATTGTTGATTGTTAAATATTAACAGCTGGCGGAACGTAAAACACGAGCTTCTTTTAAAATCCTGGGTCTCCTTGTGAATTCGGTTTATATTAGATCCAGTAAGCTGCACTTTATTTCATTAAAAGTTTAATTTAGGCTCCCGCTGTTGGTCACATGGTGCCCGGCGCTCGTTTTGACACCTGTAACACTGAACACAGGTGGACAGCAGACATGCTGACGTTTCCTCAGAGATTCATTCTGCTTTGAACTTTCAGCTGCTTCCTGTTTTAGCAGCTTCTTTCTGTGACTCCGCCTCCTTTTTGGCGTCACGCTTCCAGTTTTGTGAGGATCAGTTTAAATGCAGGACGTGGCGGTCACTCAGGTAAAACGGGGCTTTGCCGCACATGTCGTCCACAGGTTCGATGCCGTCGACTCTACATGATGTTCCTGTTAATACCCACTTTTTGTCTTATGGTTTATTTTCTCCAGATACGATTTCACGGCGATAAAGTGCATCTTCTCTAGACATAAAACTCTTCAAATGAATAAAACTTTACTAGTGAACATAAAACACAAGGATCTTTTGTACATTTCACGGCTGTGGGACAGATTCTGTTCGGGTGGACCCTGCAGCTCTCGCCCTGTTTGATTATTAAAACATATTTATTGATTGTGTCACACTGTTTCCTGGTACATTATTTTGTAAAGAGGCTGCACAGACTGAAAGCTTGTGTTGTCCTGAATCTGTGCAGCAGTTCAGCCTCTGTATCGATCAGCTCCACGAGATAAATAAAGTTTTTATTTGGTGCTTCATCCCGGTGGTGTGTTTGCTTTTCACTACACAGCTCTTCACTGTCTGCTCTCTCAGAACCTCTTTGTTTTGCAGATGATGATGTCGTCACACTTTTCCTTAGATGATTAAAATGTTATTTTTATTTTTCAGCCTCATTAATAAAAAGAGATTTTTTATAAAGGTCTAAAGTACGACACCCTAAATGTTTTAACTCACCGGTGTTTGTATTTAGTGCAAATATTCTTTATTTGTTGCTACTATTATTATTATTATGTATAAAACAACAACAGCTTTCAGTGATTCTTCTACAAGACCAACAGGAATGTGTGAAAGTTAATATAAATGCCATTAAGAAAATAAAAATGCTGACATGAGAAAAAGTTTTACAGGACTCAGGAATCATTAATAAAATCAAAGTGCTGCTGCTGAGACCGACACAGATTACAATTACAGTTAATTAATAAATAGCCTAATATGTTTCTCAGAAAAGGAAAATCTCTATTAATGATTAATGAAGATTAATAGGTGCAATTAACGGCTGTTTTCTGTAAAGGATCTCCATTCAAAAATCTTCCAGTTTTAGATTTGCTCATTGATTGTTTAAAAAAACATCAGGTACACTTAAAATATCCTTGTGAAAGAGACAGGTATTCTTGTAAATTCGGTTTATGTTTGACCTGTCAAGTCGGAATATATTTCATAAAAACCTTCATTTTAACATTGGATCACACTGTTTGCCCGCTGTACGTTCACCGTGGGAGCAGGAGGCTTTCAGTACAAAACCTTATGCTAATTAATGTACACAGAGGTGAATACTAGTCTTATAATTTAATATATTAATATTTGATTTAATCTATTTAACTGTGCTTGCCACAGAACGTACCGGTTTCCACTCTATGAAGACTCAGCCAAACTTCATCGAGAAATCTACCGTTTTTAGGATTCCTCTTTTGTTAATAATTATAAACAGCTGATAAAACATCAAATATGAGCTTGTCTGAAAATGTTGCTTCCTCTAGTAAATTCGGAATATATTTAATCAACCTAGTTGCACTCTTTTATGCAATAAATTGTGATTTTGCTGTTAGCTCATGCTGTTAGCTAGCTAACGTTAAGCCTCTATTTGTCTGGTTACTGCTCGATTTAAACCGGATGTATTATTAATAATAATTAAAGTGCGGTTCATAATAATTAATTAATTAATAATACACTAAATTAAACCGGTTCAACAGTTGCTAAAAGCTTCTCATGGGAAACAAGTTCCGCCCGCCGCCACGTTTTCAGTCGGACACAATAACAATGAGCACCGTGTTGTATTCCGGGCTAGTTTTCCTGAAGAATATTAAAGTGAGTATTTTATATTTATATATTTACATATTATTTATAACTCCTGGCGGACCGGAGCAGTAAATGGACCCGGCACACAGAGCCCTGCTGCGGACACACAGGCTGGAACTGTCCGGGCAGCTGCTGGTCAGCGAGACTATCGTTCCGGTTCTGTACCAGGAGAACGTTCTGACGGAGGCTCAGGTGGAGGACATCGCGTCTCAGCCGACAGACAGGCTGAAGACCCTGAAGCTGCTGGACCTCCTGCCGAGCCGCGGGCCCCGGGCCTTCAGCGCCTTCCTGCGCTCTCTGGACGAGTTCGGCTGGGTCCGAGACAAGCTGCTGCAGGAGCTCCAGACGGGACCCGGACCCAGCTCACCAGGTGAGACCAGGGAGGAGGAAGCACGCCTGAGACCACCAGCGTCTCACCTGGAGGTAGAAACAGGTCTCAGTGTGTTCTGTGTGAAGGCTTTAGAACCGGGTCTGGCTCCAGTTCAGTCCAGGTTCTGGTTCTGCCTGTGCGGGTCAGGGCTGATTCCAGGTCAGTGATCCCAGACCTGGTTCCCTTTCACGCCTGTTTGTTAGAAATCCTTCATGAGCCTCCCACTTTGAAAACCCCGATCCAGACCGCATCGGACCAGGTCTAGCCAAAGACTCTGAAGTCTGTTTATTAACCTGATATCTGTGGGTGAAACATTTAAATCAGTTTGTGAAAACAGAAACAGGGAGACTTCACCGCCGAGACCACATCTAGACCACATGAATCCAGATCTAGACCAGGTCCAGCACTGTTATTAGGCTTGACCTGAACTACATTAACACGAAGACTTTAAAGATGTTTAAAACCCAGTTTTAGATTCATGAAAACCTTTTTAGTTGTATTTTGTTTCTGTAGACCACATCTGGACCACATTAGCTCAGGTCTAGACCAGGTCTAAACCAGGTCTAAACCAGCTCCAGACCAGGTCTAGACCAGGTCCAGTTCTGTACTAAGACTAAAGACTGTTTAAAACCCAGTTTTAGATTCATGAAAACCTTTTTAGTTGTATTTTGTTTCTGTAGACCACATCTGGACCACAAAAGTCCAGCTCTAGTCCACTGTGCATCTGGTCTGAACCTGCCGTCAGAATAAAACGCTGAGATTCATAAAGAACTGATCAGCTGATCGTTCTTCAGCGTCAACAAACTAACAAACACGTTTACCTTCATGGAAGATGTTTGTTTGTTTGTTTGTTGGTTTGTTTAAGAAAATAAGTCGTGAAGAGGAAGTTTGTTCTCAGTGGAAAAAGCTCTGGCTCTGTTTTCTAGTAATTAACATTTATTACCATAACTGATTATTAGACATTTAATTACCTTTAATAACGACGTGACGTTCACGATTCACGACACGACCGCCAAGAAAACTAAAGAGAAGAAGAGTTCACACAGGAACCGTGCACACCTTTCAAAATAAAAGTGACATTTTTGAAAAAGAATTTTGACATAAAAGTTAAATAAGTGAATAATTCTGAGATAAATGTTAGAAGAGATAAAACTGAGATCTTCTAAGAAAACAATCAATATTTAAATCCAGATGTTGAGAGCAGATCACCTCAAACGGCCCCGACGGTCGACCGTCAGCGTTAACGGGAACCTCGTCAGGCGCTTTGAATAAATCCAGCATTTAGATTAAAGTCGCAGCTGAGATTATAGTTGGAAATAAAAGTGAAGCATTTTAGGAAAAGTTTTATAAATCTGAAATTTCAGTAAATTTTAAGGAACAAAATAAAAGTTTGGGATTAAAATCTTTAATCAAAGTAAGAAAATTGATAAAGTTTTAATTAAATGTCTGATTTAGTAAAAAAGTCCAAGTTCAGTTCCAGATGTTTGAGAATAATCTGAGATGTTCAGATGAATCAGATGACGGCTGTGTTTGGGTTTTCCTGCGTCATCAGAGACGTTCAGTTTTTCTCAGAACAGTTTAAGAAGTTTTCCAGGAAAAAATCTTCGTCAGCGTCTTTTAACTAAATTAATAACGAATTCTTAGAAACCAGTTTCTGCTAACGAGACAGTTTTTTAGTTCAGACGCTGCTCTTTGGTTTCTTAATGGAGATCAGAGCAAACGGAGCTGAGCGCTCACAACACCCCTCCTCGCCCTTCCTCCTCGCCCTTCCTCCTCCTCGCCCTTCCTCCTCGCCCTTCCTCCTCCTTGCCCTTCCTCCTCCTCGCCCTTCCTCCTCGCCCTTCCTCCTCCCCTTCCTCCTCCTCGCCCTTCCTTTTCCTCGCCCTTCCTCCTCGCCCTTCCTCCTCGCCCTTCCTCCTTGCCCTTCCTCCTCCTCGCCCTTCCTCCTCCTCGCCCTTCTAATAAAATGAAGATTTTATTCTCAGTTTACCACTTGTATCCAAACTTGAATCCAATAATTATGTCTTTTATTTAAAAATTAATTCAGACTTTAATCTTAAAAATTCTGACTTTAAAAAAAAAGTCCTCCTCGCCAACACTTAGCAACAACATATATGCAATGTCCGGTTAGACTTTCAGAATAAAACGCTGGTGTTTTGAAACATCGTCATTTTGAAACGGCACGTTAATAAAGTCGTGAAACGTTGCAGTTTGGTTTGGTTTAGGCAACAAAACTAGTTGGTCAAGGTTCAGAAAACATCCTGGTTTGGGTTAAAATAACTACGTATGTCAGTTAACACGTAAGTTAACTTACGTCACTTGTGTAACTTACGCACTTTACGTAACTCGCGTATCTCAAATAAAAATATTTAATGTTTCACATCGAACCCCGGTCTCCTGGTTCAAAGTCCGGGTTCTGGTCCTCCATCCGCCCCAACCACCTCCGTACTCAGTCGCTACAAGGCCTTGACCGTGCGTCCATATGTGGCGAGTCGGGGAGAGAGAACGGGTCGGCTCGTCAGCTTATTCTAACAATAGCTGGGGATTCATTTTCTGTCAGTCAGCTAACTGAAAGCATAAAAACCCTCAAATAAAGCTTTATTTAAACAGCTGACGTGTTGCAGCATATTTGAATCATGAACTAAATAAAACACATGAACGCTGGACCTGCTGCTGGGTTGGAGTTCATGTTTATAATAATAATTTACTGTCTCGCTGCTGTCACTGACAAGTAGAACAGAAATGCCACAAAAATACTTGATTTATAATGATTTTGCTTAACGGGGTCAGAATGTTCTTTTACAGAAAGAAAAGGAACAACAAAACAACACAGGGTTAATGAGTAATGTAAAATGTAAAGCTGCTCTTCTTCTTCTCTGCAGCTGATCTGAACTTTATTCCTTTACGTTTTTTCTCAGCGCCGCAGGACGCTTCATTAAACAAACCATGTGGAGGTTACGAGCGGTGAACAGGCAGCACTTCCTGTGTCTCAGTGACCTAAAAGAAAAACACTGATTGCAACACGTGTTGACTGAAGAGGAACTCTCTTTTCTCCAATGAGAGGAGACCAAACAACACAACACCCCCCCCCCGACTTAGAAATACTGAGAATTAAAGTTGCAGCGTCTGACGACAAATCAAGTTTATTATTCAAACCTTTGACAACAACAAACTGAACAAGTCCAACAAGTTTGTTTGTACGAGAGCCGTCACCTGATCAAAGCCGTCAACCAGACTTCATTCAGAAATCTCAACTTTATGGACAAGACAATCCTGAGATTAAAGACAAAATAAAGAACTGCAAATTCAGAC